TAGTTGTGACCCGCAGTTGTGCCTGTGTAGTCACAGGAAACATAGTCGCTATTACTGTCCACCTGTGAGGGAGCCATGCTTTAACACGAATGAGCCGGCTCGACCGTAGTGATACCACGGCCTCACAGAAAACCGACGTGAAAGAACAGTTGCGTTGTGTTTCGTCGTCAATACCTTTTGCGTTACCGGTAACGCACTTATAACACCTGTGGTGTTTCATGTGACGATGGTCGACGCCGATGGCTTACCATCAGGTGATCCGTCTGCTGTTTTACTGGTTTACATAAATAAAGTTTAAATAAAATCTTCTTTTAAATATTTTGAGACAAAAAAGCAAACCAAAAAATCCAGTACGTTATGTATTAATGTAAGTTATCAAAATTCTAGACATTAACATAAAATTAAACCTAAATCATGTTTTAAACATAAAGTAAATACATTAACATGGAGCTAATTCATCAAAATCTAGTCCTAACATTGCGTGTTACTTTGTTCATGCCTAAGGAATATGTAAGTTGTCAAAAAATTTGCATGAAAACAAACACACGACAAGAAATATTAGGTATTTTAATTTTGGCTTTTTATTTTCGCATAGTACATGATAGAGGGTGAATTTAAACTGTCAAACACCGCGAGGACACCGGTGACCGCAACCTATTGTTCTTTAATTGTGGTGATTGTGTCTATAATGACGGTACCTACTCAAAGGGATGGGCTCGCTGCCATTGCAGCGGTAAGTCCCCTCTTTGAGGAGTGGCTTGAGAGACGCTACGGCGTCCTCACCTACCGCCTGACGCAGGTCCTCACCGGACATGGAAGTTTCGGGAGGTACCTGTGTCTGATGGGGCGGGAGGAAACGCCCGGGTGTCATCACTGCGAGGACCACCCTGAGGACACGGTGGAACACACTGTTGCGGAATGCCCTGCGTGGGCTGAGCACCGCCGTGCCCTCAGGGAAGTGATCGGCGATGGAGACCTCTCGCGTCCGGGCCTAGTTCAGGCCATGATGCGGAGCGAGGGGGACTGGGATGCCGTCTCCTCCTTTTGCGAAGCAGTCATGCTGGCTAAGGAGGAGGCGGGACGCGTGAGGCAGCGAAGCGCTGCCTCCTCGCAACCCAGCCATCGCGAAGGACACACCGGGCGTCGGGGATCGCGGGACGATCTCCGGCCACCGTAAGCGCGGGCCTGCGGACGGCGAGCATGGGTGGCTCCCCGTCCGACCAGAAACAGACCCGAGCGTACGGCGCGTCGCGTTCCGCGCGCGCCTCAAAGAGCCATCAGACCACCACAGATGGGGCCCAATAGGGCCGATGCCGATTCGGAGTCGCGGAGAACCTAACGGGTAACCGGGGCTCCGGCTCGACGTGCAGGAGAAGGAACGGGGTGGTTTTTAGTCAGTAAGAGTCTGACACTCCCTTCCGCCTCACCCAGGCGGGAGCAGTCATTCGATGATTTTCCCCCCTTAAAAAAAAAAAAAAAAAAAAAAAACCTACTCAAAGGGTTAATATAACAATGACCATGTAGGGAGGTTTACATACATATGCATGTAAATTCATGAACACTTTTATGTATGTCTTTCGTCATATTACAGTATTCCCACTTCATATTATTATTGCCACACAGTCAGAATTTACCGTCTTGTAAGAAACACTGACGGACTGCCTCATTGGCCGAGTGGTCGCAAGTGCGACTGCCAGGCAAGGGGTCTCGGATTCGACTTTCAGCTCGAGCATAGTATTACTGGGTTTTTAAAAAAGATCTCAGTGGTAGCACAGTCTAGAAATGTGCCCGGTATTTTTTTTAGGGGGGAAAGTCGTCGAATAACTTCTCCCGCCTGGGTGAGGCGGGAGGTAGTGTCAGACTCTTACTGACTAAAAACCACCCCGTTCCTTCTCCTGCACGTCGAGCCGGAGCCCCGGTTACCCGTTAGGTTCTCCGCGACTCCGAATCGGCATCGGCTCTATTGGGTCCCATCTGTGGTGGTCTGATGGCTCTTTGAGGAGCCGTACGCTCGGGATGTGCCTGGTATATGGCTATAACCTATTATGTTTTACACGCAAGGGCAAATACTAACTAATGGTTTTATCTCGACTAGCTGTAAGCAACCCTTAAAGCTATTTATTCATCATCCTTGAAAACCACATGTCTAGCAATTTGACTTTGCAAAGAGATTTGCATCGTAACAGCAAGTCTTCATTAATAAGTTAAACGTCTTACAGTTAGTTTAACTAAATCAGTCTATTCAACTTAGGTATCTACTACATAATTATGGTAAGTAATTGCTTTTAGAACATGCTTTGAATTAGCATTTTACGATGTCAAGATTTCTAGGGGCTGTGTTTAATAACTGCCTCGGTGGCCGAGTGGTCGCAAGTGCGACTGCTTGGCCTTTTCCCAGACCCTTTGGTCTCGGGTTCGATTCCCGAGTCGGGCAAAGTCTTCTTGGATTAAAAAAAAATCTCAGTATTAACGGTGTCTGGAATTGTGCCCGGTATATGGCAATAGGCTCATCCTAAAAGTGGGTGTTACATTGTACAGTGGCATTAAGTGCCGTAATGTGCACCTCTGCCTACCGCTTCGGGGATAAAAGGCGTGATGTTACGTGTTTAATGAATACATTGTTTTTTGATTATATGACACACAATCTAAGAGATATGTTCGTTTCTCTAACTTAAGAATTCGAAATGAGGTGATCCGACAGAGAGTGAATGTAATCGACATAGATTACGATAAACCAAAACAGCAAGTTGAAGTGGTGATCATTTTCAGGTGGTCGTTACCTACCGACGAGGGTGCTGCGGATAAACTTGTGAATTAGCAGGGCTCCGGTTTGAAGCAGGCGTGTATACGGATTGGCTTTTAGTCAGTAAGACTGTAAGAGTCTGACACTCCCTCTCGCCTGACCTAAGGTCAATCCGTCATTGGTCAAGCAGCCATTGGCTGATTCCCCTTCCCGCTAAAGTGATCACTATCTAAGTAGCTATGTTTATAATTTATAATGAGAATTAAAGCATTGAATAATTTCGGAGCGACTATAAGTATGACGTAGGTACTAGATTACTACGACGTAGCCATGGACGTAGCAGACTCCACTACGCTTGCTACGCAGACGCCGTAGCGCATGCAATATTTCAAGTTTCGGGCCTACTTACCAGAAAAAATAATAATTAAAAAACATGAATTTAAGAGGCTTGTAATAAAAGATAAAAAGTTGCCAGTTAATAAAAAGTTGTTGAAACAGGTTAGTTAGTACGCAATTAATTAATATTCATATTGTTTATCCTAAGGGCTATTAAATGTTCCCTGAGTACTCATTTATTACGCTTTTCGTTGAAGGAAAAAAAATTGAAAAATTATTATTTACTTATTTACATTTATTGTAGCAAAACGGTACCCGTTGCACGGCAATTGGCCAGATGCCGCACCAACCGTAGAATCAAAAATTGCCTATTTTTATGGAATAAAAAATATGGAATGGCAAACGAGTAGGATCACCTGATGGAAATGGTAAGCTATCAGCGCCGCCGATAGACACCCGCAACACCAGAGGAATAACAGCTGAGTTGCTGGTCTTTTAAAATGGAATATGCTCTTTTCTGGAAGGTTTGTAAGTCGTATCTTATTCACCAATAAAGTAATTAAAATAAATTCTTTAAATTTATGAATTTCAGTCAAGTAAGTCAAATGAACACAATACTGCTATCTTTTACACCACAGATTTCCTTTTATCCTTTTACCTGCTCAAACTATACCATTATGGCATTATACTCCTCAATTATTCAACTATAGCCTTTGTCGGATTTGTCGGACGTTTCCGACATCAGACAGGTACGGGACGAGCCTTATTTAAGTGATGACTAACACTTTTTGCTGCTAAGTATATGGAGTCGGCAATTTTGTTGATTTCGCAACTGTTAGGGTTTATTTTCACATTGTGTGAGGTGTTTTTTATTAAGATCTTTAAAAAATAATTACCTATAGACACGAGTTAACCGAAACTGTTGTTTAAATTATTTATGTTGCAGTTTGCAGTGGGTAAAATGATAAGCCACCATCTTTTTGTTTATCACGAGGCTGTTGATGATGATGATGGTATGGTATGGTATGAACGTAGATCTATGCGAGACATAAAGTGTTTCCTATTGTGTCTCATATACCGGCACATAAGAGGTTAAGCAAAAAAAAACGAGATCTCCATTATAAAATCTCCCTTATAAGTTTGTAGCAAAGCTTGCTAAACGTAAGGTCAAGGTCAATTTAATTTTGGCCATTTTGAGGTAGATCCAATATAATAAAAACGGAAGGTTGACAGTTCCAGTTTTGGAGCCCATTATATTTGTTGGCGAATTATAAAACAATCTCTTTTATAGCGTGGGTCAAAAGTAGATGAAACATAAGTACATACCGACATACGTGAACGTTCCAATATGATCAGTAGAAAAAGTAATAGAAATATTCGGTTAAGATAAGCTTACCTATTTTCAACAAAGCTTATGGCTCGGCTGGTGATTAGCAATCAGTACTTCTGCAAGCTATAACACTACCAGACGAGACCATAGGCAGACCTGTGTCATGCGATTGCTGACATTAAAAAAAGCTGCTCACTTAGGTATGCATACCGTCGTTTCCGAGAAGTAGTGCTACCCGATAATAATGGTAAAATTAAACAGGGGGTTTGTCATCCACAACTGCATTCTTGCTCATCAAACGTACCACAGTGTTAGGTGTTATGGACAAATAAAAATAATGTGTAGGTTAGTACCTACCTCTTTTTTTAAACTGGCTTTGTCGTAATAATCTAAAAATAAGAAAAAAAACCTTCCAAAAAGCGTAAAAAATAATTTTGGTAGATAAATAAATTATTTCCTAGCAACACCGCAGTTGTCATTTTTTACTCAAGCTGTGCTGATGCCGCGGCACTAATTATTCTATTTACACCAGTTTTCGAGTTGTAATTAATGAAATTCATGTGTTTTTGTGTTTAATATTAACTGTGAAAAATGTCCAATTTAAAAATATGTCGAATATGTCTTTCAACTGATGTAAAAATGTATGAATACGACCAGTTTGATCTGAGGACCTACTATGAACAGATTATGGCCACCAAAGTAAGAATGTTTGGTGTTTATTCATCCTATTTATTTGTATACCTACAAACTCCTTTATAATTTAAAATATATTTTATGGCTTTGAGTCGAGATATAATACAGATTATAGACAGAAAAGTGGAAGCCAACTAGAATCAAACAAGCTTTTTGTATATTAGTGCATTTTGTATGTTTTTTAGTCTGTAGATTGAATTAACATAGTGAATAATGTTACCTTTAACTCATTTGAACATAATTAATGTTTATTAAACCAATGAATGTGTCATAGCAGAGTGTAGGAAGAGTAAAATGCAATAAAAACATATTATTCTTTAGTCTTTAGCTCTCTAACAATAACAGTCATTTTATTTACAAACCACCTATTTTTGTTACCAGTACCTCATATAAAGTTTTTTTTTCTTTTATTAAACAAGCAATGGTAATTACATTTATGTCTCTTAAATAAACAGTTAATTTTATGTTAAGATATTGTATTTGTAGCATTATCTAATTAAAAAATATCTCTACCATTAAATCAAAACAGTATAAAGTATAAATACAAGTAAGATTAACAATGAAACTTCTTGATAAAATTATTTATGTTGTAATAACAAAAACCGCTATAAACTTACCTAGTTTTTCAAAAGGTTAAAAGCTATCTGGCCGCTCACAATGCCAAATAGAAACCAGATAGAACTTGAAAAAATTAATATGTAAATGACCTATACCTACTCTTGTTTTTATCTTTATAACTGTAACCACTATTTATTCTACTTTTTAGAAATATTTATTTGCACCGAACAATTTTACTTGACCCAATTGAAGATTGTTTTTCAAATGTAGTGTCAGTCTAACACTCAACTAAAGAAGTGAAAATAGGCATCAGTTTAACTGTATAAACTAAAACTAACTTATGAAACAGAACCTTTTTTGTAGTAGTTTTTTATCACAACTAAAATATTACAATATATTTGGTTCACAGGTAAATGAAAAGCATGGTCTACCTAAGTGTTTCTGCTACCAATGCGCAGCTGTACTACACAAGTTCCATAAGTTTAAGGAAAAGTGTTATTTTGGACAGAAGGCTCTGAGGGAAATTTTATGGAAGGGACCTGTGAGTATATTTTACCGTATTAAACAAAAATTTAAAAATCTCAATATCTATGTATAATCTACTGATTGTTAGTCTGACAGCAAAGGGGAATGATCTGGCTAGATAAGTAGTGTAAAATTACCTATTCGAAATACTCTGTTTAATTGAGATCGAGGCCCGATTTGTCCTTTGCGCTGCATTGCGTTGACACTATGTCATTTCCCGTATTATATTTTTGGAGCCAAATGGGGCTCACTCTAAAGCAATATTTTAAGTTTAATTAAATATATAAGCTTCACTCAATCTACAGTTTTATCTTATACATATAACTCAATATAAATATAACATCATATAACTTAAATATGAATAAAATAATACTTATCAAGTAGAATTTGTTAAAAACAGAATATGTATGTCTTTTTCATTCTATTTCAGCTAACAAAACAAGCAGTTCGGAACATAGACAGAGAAAGCAAAAACATTCTTATACCACTAAGCATAATAACTGTCAACAAAAGAGTTCGGACATGTGTAGTAAAAAATTCAAACAAAATAAAACTACAAGAAACTAAGCCAATCGAAGTAGATGTGGCATCTCTCAGTGACGATGGAGATTTTGGTGAGGATACATTCGAAGACAACAAAGAACATCTAATCGAAATTGACATAGAGAAAATAGACATAAAAGAAAAGAAAGAAGACTTTATTGAACTGGAAAAGATAGAAAAAGATAAAATAGATGATTTTGAAGATATAGAGCCAATTGAAACTAAAATACAACCAACAGAAAATGTGAATTTTGAAATCGAAAAGGTCTTCACCGATGATGAAATGCCAAGTGACAATGAAAAAGTGTTTGTTGATGACATAAAAATAATATCAGAAGACGAAGAAGATTATGAACCAGAGGTAACAAAAAAGAAAAGAACAAGAAATACTGGTAACAGTAAAAAGAAAAAAGCTAAAGAAACGATACCGAAAGAAAAGAAGTTTGCAGTTAAAACTACTAAAAAGGCCGAAATGGACCCTAATAACTGGCTGAAAATAAATTTGACGGAAGAGGAGGCTGATGCGGAGTTTAAAGCTAGAGGGCAGCACAAGCGATATTTGAACGCTCAGTACAAATGTACGGATTGTTTGAAAGGATTCTCTAAGGAGGATATGTTGAAGAGGCATGCTAAGTTAAGACATAGTGAAGTAAGTACATTAAAGACGATTTTTTAATGTATTTTAAATAGAAATAAAAGTATTGTTTGAAGAACTATCCAGAGGTGAACATAATAATGCTATATAATCCCTCTGCAGTTATGTTATGAGCCCCCGTGTAATTGAGGATGAACCTGTTACCAGCACATTACTGTGCACGCGCGCACGATTATCTGCTTCCGCCTTTAGCTCGTTTTGTTTTTTTTTTGTGTGCCTTCTACAATGGCCAGCACGCCAACCTTTCTCTTTTTGTCAAATTTTTGTATTACATCTTCAACTTTATTTGTATTGAATTAAGGTCGAAGTTTAAATGAATAAATTTGACACATAGTAGATTGATCTGCTGGCCACTGTACGTATCTGACCGCCGCGCCGTACGTCATTTAACTCTTAGTACGCCGAACGTAGAATGTAGATCTATTTTATTGTATGATCATGAAATATTAAAAAAAAATCACACTATCATTTATTGATTTTATGACCAACCTAATTTTAATATTTTTCCAGATAGTTTTTAAAAAATAATTATGCTGTTTTAACGCTAAAAAAACGTGACGTCACAATACACAATCTCATACAAAATTCATAGAAAACTGCCGTTTTTGACAGTGCGAAAAAAGTATTGAATTCGATTAGTTGGAAAGTGCCCAATTCGTCTGGTATCACGTGAAATTGAAAAGTATACACAAAAAAATCAGTTGGTCTGTACCGGGGTACACGGCCGATGGTTTTAACGTGAAACGTCTATGTTAGCGACAAGCGAAACCGCCGGTTTCGCACAGTTAACGCAGTGTCCCACCCGAATTTGGTACATCAACAGAAACATAATCTAGTTTACAGTCCACACAGTCATTTCAGCAGTATCAAAGTATTAATCATCTGATGTTATTATTTTCAGTCAAACGGTCCAATAGAGTGCCGTTTCTGCCACATGCGGTTCAAATGGAAGTGTTTCCTAAACAAACACATGAGGCAGCATTATACTAAGTACAAATGTCTGCGATGTGACCTCGTCTGTCCTTTAGAGTGAGTATATTTCTTTTTTTTATTGCATAAGCCGGTAAACGAGCAGACAGATCACCTGATGGTAAGCAATCGGCGTCGCCCATGGACACCTGGAACACCAAAGGCGTTACAAGTGCGTTACCGGCCTTTTGGGGATTAGGAGTTTGAGGATCGATGGGGTTTCAGGAAATGGGGGGGATTGGGGAAGGGGAGGGTAATTGGGCCTCCGGTAACCTCACTCACACGACGAAACACAACGCAAGCGTATCTTCACGTCGGTTTTCTGTGAGGCCGTGATATCACTCCGGTCGAGCCGGCCCATTCGTGCCGAAGCATGGCTCTCCCACACTTTTTTAACCGATTTCATGTTTGATAGTGGGTATTTCACAAAATGTTACCATCAAGCTTAAAGTAAAATATGCAACTTGGTTGTGTGAACTATTCAACCGACTTCGAAAAAGAAAAAAGAAGGTTCACGGTTTGACCTGTAGCTATGTATGCATGTTTGTGCGCGATTACCTCGCGTATGGTTGAACTGACTTTGATGCGGTTTCCAGAAAAGTGTTTGTTACACTTAGGAGGTTTTAGTATATTAATTACTTATTTATCCGACCTCAAAAAAGAGGTTTAAGTCGGTTTTTGGAACACAGTTTATAAAAGAATTATATTTAAAAAACTGAAACATTATTTATAACATACATGAGCTTTCTTTTGCTAAAGATTTCTTTCTTTCATTACATTTATCATTTATTTTTCCAATACGGTAGTTTTTTATTTAATGTCCGTCTGGTAGATTATTTTAAAACATTAGACACGTATTTTTTCATTTCTCACAAAATTAAATACTTTCGACGATATATTCATTTGAAATATCGTGTGACGTCATAGCGTACTACCTTTTACAGCACGTTGTGACGTAACGACCTCCCACCCCTTAACTTAACGCCATTTTATCTAAGTATTGTAGTTTTATACAAGAAAATAAAAAAATACCTGTCTAATATTTTTTCATTATCTAACTGACGGACTAATTTGATTTTTAATTTTATTACCCTCGCAACTACCCAACTATATCAAAAAGAAGCTGTTGATGCTCTAGAAAAATATATCTATCTGTTACCTTTAGGAGTCGGACTAATCTACAAGCAAATGTTACTTCACTTGTTAATATCACTTCCTTAGTTCCAAACAGCAAATTTTTTAATATATATTTTTTTAAACACTAGGTTTTTCTATACTATTTATCGTGGGTGCATTTACAAACATACAAGTTCACATACGCATGACACCCAGGCCAGAACAAGAAGCCGCGGACGGCTTAACAAGTTGCTGGCGCTCCGGTCGAGATACAAGCGTAGGAACACGGTGGTTTTTAATCAGTAAGAGTCTGACACTCCCTCTCGCCTCACCCAAGGTGGGAGAAGTCGTTGGATGATTTTCCCCCCTCAAAAAAAGACCCAGAACAACAATTTGTGGATCACACAAATCTTGCTCCGTTTGGGAATTCGTTTATTTATTGTATCTTTACCCACGAATATATTTGATTTGAATGATTGATTCCAATTATAATGATAATCTTTCTTTTCAGAACTACAGCTCTATTCCATGAAGAATATCACAATGGTGTTACAAGGAAATGCGATCACTGCGGGGAAGAATTCAAGTGAGTTTAAAACATTCTACTTAGCACTTGTCATGAAGAGCAAAATGTATTAACATTCAACATTTTATTGGAGAAAATTAAATATGACAAAAAACTTATTCTAAACTTTACTGAAAGACAATTATCATAATTTTTGCGACTTTTTCTTGACAACCTTTGATGGACAGTAATTGTCATCACTGAATGAACTCGACTAGTTTCATACTATGCTAGAGACTCATATTCATAAGCAGCATTCCACGACCCGCGACGCGGCGACCGTTGTTCTACTACTGATATGTATATATGAGCCTCAAGCATGGCTTGAAACTAGTCGAGTTCCTCTTCAAATAATTACGTGAGTAAGCCGGAAACATAATAATTAATTCGGTATGTCTCAAGAAAGTTATAATGTAAACGTGATCTTAAAACGGTATAATATGAATCCTTTTCTTATCTCTTTTACCAGACATTTAACAACGTACTACACGCACCTGCGCACGCACCGCAGCGAACACGTGTGTACTCTGTGCGGCGCCTCCTTCGTGAGTGTCACTGGGTTAGGCATTCATAAGAAGATTAAACATGTTAATGCTGAGTCTGTAAGTATTTTTTATAGCGTTGCCCCAGTTTATTTTTTCCTGTGTCGTAGGTGCATTTACAAACATACAAGTTCACATACACATCACACCCAGACCCGAAACAACAATCTGTGAATCACACAAAGAGATTTTCCGTGCGGATATCGAACCCGCGATACGTTGCGTGGCAGCCAGTTGCCCAGCCACCGCGCCAACCGTGCAGTCATCAGTCATATACTATGTCAAAGTTCATTATCCTTCATATGTTTAAGCAAATTTAAACCTTTTTCCCTTGTAAAGTTATCACTTAACATTCATTCAATTTTCGATCTTGTTCCATACTACGTAAAGTCATATTACCCTTCTACTTTACACCAGAACTACCTCAAGGTTAAGAACTGTGCTGATTTCATAATCATTCAAATTTCAGCCCTATTCAAAAGCTCATAAATTTATCTTTCCTTTCTAAACCCCATAGGAACTACCGCAAGGCGAAGAGCAATACTGTCAGCGTTGTGACGTCAAGTTCGAAACAAGGAAAGCATATGAAGAACATCTCATACATTCAGCTATGCATGTGGATGGGATTGAGTGAGTATTCTTTAGTTTTATTTACGATTTTCTTTACATAATTTGTAGTAGCCCCCTAAATAACGCATAAAATTTTGTTAGACACTCCCTCTCAGTTGATAACTTGTATAATGCCTGAGATAGTTGTATTATGAAGCATTCTTAACGTTGGCTGCAGCGCCGGTGGTGGGTTGAGCAGTGGCAGCCATCCAAACATGTCCATTTTTTTGACATTTCCTCCCGATTGAAAACTTGTTCAATTTAAAGTTAACATAATATTTTAAAGAAATAAAAGGATCAGCTGATTATACAGTGGTGAATTATACACCCACATCGCAATATTCAATTCAACTATAACATTTGATACTATAAAATTTCAAATGTCAATCCAAATTAGGTTCAAAGTTCAATAACACACGGCCACGTCCGTGTGGCCTCTATACTGAGATGTATGTATATGTTTATGTTTTACAGAGACTTAGAAATAAATGCACCTCTCACTTCTAACCCCAGGAAACGGCGGCAGAATCTCAAGAGGCTGACTCGAATACCTACTGATTGTCATATTGTAAGTATATTTTTCTCTCTTTAAAAAACTTCGCTCAGCTCTAGGATTTTCTCCTGCGTCATGGGTACGTTTACAAACATACAAGTTCATATACACATGACACCCAGACCCGAAACAACAATCTGTGAATCACACAAAAAATTGTTCCGTGCGGGAATCGCACCCGTGACACGTTGCGCACCAGCCAGTTGCCCAACCACTGCGCCAACTGTGCAGTCATTGACATATATGATATATATGATATTTGATATATCGGGTCTTGTAGCCCAAAACGGTTTTAAGGAACAGAGAGTATAGTTCCCTATGATTGAAAAGGATCTTTCGACCAGACGAGGTCGTCTACTGCCCAACAGCTGTACGTTGGGATTTTCTAGCCATATTTATTCGTGTACAAATTTGTGACGTCACCTATGTAATTGAATCATACATACATTATTGTTTTATGATGCGTAAACAGCTAAGTTTTTTTTATTTTCCTTTTTCTGCTTATTCATTAGTTCAATAATCGCTAATAAGACCTCGCATTAGTACATAAATTACTTATAACTAGACGTCAATGGAATCGGGTTTATAAATTAGTTATTGTCCCTACAAAAACTATTGTATTATTCAAGAAAACTACAAAAACTGCAACTAATATACAACTTAAAAAAAATACTTATTTGTTCTCCATCAGTGCGGCAAACACTTCGCGACGCAGGCGGCGTGTAGGAAGCACCATCTAGCGGAACATCCCAGAACTTCATTCTTCGCGCCCAACGAGAGACATATCTGTGAGATCTGCGGGATGTCACTAGCGGTATGTGGCTAATATATTACTAACTTTGCTTGTGTATTATAAAATGTATCTTTTATTTTCTAGAAGGTTAGGTAAAGACTGCCTCGTTGCCCGAGTGGTCGCAAGTGCGACTGCCGGGCAAGTGGTCTCGGGTTGGATTCCCGGGTCGGGCAAAGTATTACTGGGTTTTAAAAAAAATCTCAGTACTAGCACGGCGTCTGGAATTGTGCCCGGTATATGGCAATTGGCTAACCCCAGAGTTTTTTTACCGACCCGGGAATCAAACCTGAAGACCCCTCGCCCGGTAGTCGCACTTGCGACCACTCGGCCTTCGAGGCAGTCAATAAGTACTGCATAGATTTACTTCAAATTTTGCAAGGCCAGGTCTACATATAGGCTACATATTATCACGCTATCACCTACGGGAGAGGAGCTGTGAAGAACTATCCAAAGTCACTATTCCACGCGGACGAAGTCGCGGGCATCTACTAGTCTAAATTAAAAATATTTGCATTGATATCAAATTTTGATACAACTGCTATAGAATTTCTGCCAAAGGCTTGGATCGATTTTAATTATTACAGTATTTATTTATTATCAACTAGCGACCCGCCACGGCTTCGCACGGGTGCAATATGCATGTATTATACATATAAACCTTCCTCTTGAATCACTCTATCTATTAAAAAAACCCGCATCAAAATCCGTTGCGTAGTTTCAAAGATTAAAGCATACAAAGGGACATAGGGACAGAGAAAGCGACTTTGTTTTATAATATGTAGTGATTTCAGCTGTAACGCTAAACTGTTAAAATTTAAGATTGCTTCATTCCAGCCGGGCAGTGTTTCAAGCCATCTAAACACTCACACTCGAGAGAAGCTTTACACCTGCAACACCTGTGGGAGGCAGTTCAGTAGTAAGGGAGGAATGACTACTCATCAATTGGTAAGTTAAAATATTCATAATTGTTATTATTATACAAGATCGAATTTAATAAAATTATACATCACAGAGGACAGAAACTGTAGGCTATGGGCCATTTATATTAGAAATAAATACAAAATATTAAACAAATAATAATCGACTTGCCTTTTAATGAGACAATTTCATAGAAGTAAGCAAAATATAAAATTGACATATGTTTAAAGAAAATTTTAACCAAAAATAAAACTTCCTTAACAGCCAGTGCTCGCATTACTACCAAATAGGTATATTATCTAACAGAAACATTGTAAGTACTTTTTGCAAAAGTGCTCAGACGTCTATAATTGTTTTTTTAGGTACTCAATATATAGGGTGACTTTTAACTCGGAAGTATTCCTTTCAGGAGGTGATAATACAAGTAATTTCCTATTAACTACTATAAAACCAACTAATATAAAAAAAATCCTGAGGTACCTAGTCCGAAAGTGGCTAGTTTCTGAGATATTCAATATTTTATTTTTTATTTGTCGTCAATACATCAATAAAAATGTATTAATAATAATACTTTCAGAAATATCATACGTTTCAAAATACCAAGTAAATTAGTATCGAACTTTGTTTTGAGTCACTTAATTGGTCAATAGAAAACTGGATTTATTTAAAAAAAAATGATATTGGCTTGGCTAATAAGCCTAAGCTAAATAAATAACTTGATGATAAATACAATATAAAGGAAAACTATTCCAAAAATGTAATTGTCTACTAAATTTTGTACAAAGTGACCTTTCCTATGATGAATACAAGCACACTACTTCCTTATCTATATAACGGTCACTCTTGAACTGAATGTTTCAGACGCATACGAGCGAGAAGCCGGTAGCTTGCACTCTATGCGACAAGCGGTTCAAACAAGTTAGCAGTATGAAGCTTCATTACAGGACCTTTCATTTGAAAGAACCGTATCCGAAGAGGTAAGGAAATAACTAGTTCTACAAAAATCCACATATATCGTATGAGATTTAAGAGAAAGAGACAAAAAGATATTTAGTTCTGAAATCGTCTTTACATGCCGCGCAACTTCTTCATGTATTTTTCGTAATTGAATAATATTTTTACACTAGGATTTTCTCCTGTAGCGTGGGTGCGTTTACAAACATACAAGTTCACATACACATAACACCCAGACCCGGAACAACAATCTGTGGATCACACAAAGAGTTGTTCCGTGCGGGAATCGAACCCGCGACACGCAGCACGGCATCTAGTTGCCCAACCACCGCACCAACCGTGCAGTGCGTTCATTCAAGTCATATTTAAAATTAGATAAATTAACGACTAAAGAAGTCGTAACTAGTCGGGGATGGCCGAATACTTTCGAGCTCGACCGAAGCCCTTAGCCTTATCGGCACGTATCACGACACTGGTAGATATGTTAGAAAGCGCCCGGAATCTATCGCGGCCCCATTTGTCCGTTACGGTGCGTTGAATCGTGCCGTTGCAACATTGTAACGGGGATTGTCATAAAAAATGCATGGAAATGACTCTGCGATGACGCAACAGACAAATGTGGCCTCGCTCTTAGGTGTGTCAAATGTATACTTTCACTACAAAGCACGGTCGTAACTTTTATATAAATAAACTTAATAAATAACGTCACGCCTTTTATCCCCGAAGGGGTTGGCAGATGTGCGCTGTACTATGTAACACTCACTTTTTAATATTTATATTATAAGTCTCATGTAATAGGGGGTGAGCCTATTGCCATATACCAGGCACAATTCCAGTCTCCGTTCTACTACCGAGACTAAACTAAACTTCAATTTAACATAAATTTATTAACTTGTAAACTTTATGTTGTTTTATTTATTTTCAGGAACAGAAAAAAGAAAACAGATGAACTGCCAAAGGATGATTATGTGCACGAAGATTCGGACGACAATATGACATTAGATAACTTTTACGCGCGCAAGTTTTAGGTTATAAGTTGTAAATAATTTATTAATACTCATACTTTTTGTATATGAGACTTTATGATTATGACATTAAATATATAATAGCTGGACTATTTATACTCTATACTCTTTGCCTAGTTGATTATCAGCGGGATCTTATGTTACTCTTCTTCATATGAGACGGTTCACAATGAATATTCACCCCAGGGAATGTTTCATTTATCTTTCATTCAATGTTCAGACGACTTTAGTAGAATGACATAAGTACGTCATGAAGCGATGTTGTATGTCGGAATCAGTTTAATCTGTCAAACACCAAGCGGTCACCGGTGACCGCAACCTATTGTTCTATAATTGTGTCTATAATGACTCGGTACTCGACGAGTTAATTTGTGATTGTCTAATCAAATCTGAGTGAACGTTAATTTTTTATTTTTCAACAAAAAATGAATGATCAGAATGATACCGAATGCCAAAATCAAACATCATTGGATCGGTTTACTAATGAATCCATTCTGCACTCTTGTTTCATTCAGAGTTTAGACGTACTATCTTGACTGAGTTCAGCCGTATTTTGAGTGAAAGATGCCGAATGAAAGGCAAAAATTAACCTTCTGATATCACCTTTATAATGACCGTTTTCACTTAACTATAATTCTTTTATAAACTATGTTTAAAGAAACCGCCTTCAAGCCCTTCTTTTTTTTAAGTCTTAATTAGAATATTTATATAAATCAAAGTTATTTGTTGTCCTGTTTGAAAATAACAGCAGCTTAAGGTTATTATTAGAACCTCCCAAAATGCAATAAAACTACGATTTTAGCGCTTAACTAGATGGCGCCTCTGTTGTTTAAAAGGCCTTGTGTAATATTAATTTTGTTAATGAAATGACATTAAGGACAGAATGTTTTTTTTATATATAATTAACCGTTATTACCAGTGATCGGAAAAAGGTGAGCTAATTTACCTAAACTTCAAGGAACAAAAACAAAAAGTGGAGACTTCCTTACTACAACATTTTTATCGGGAAAGTTCCGGTTCCAGTTTCGGGATATTACATACATTTCATATAATTGTTATTAATACAGAAAACAATTGATTTCGTTTCGTGATTTTATTTCTTAAATTTAACACAAAACCAAACACACTAAAACCTAAAATCGTGACAAAAGTTAACAAAAGCTGAAAAGTTGAGAAAAGCTAGAAAGAAACCGCAACGGAACTATCCCGAAAAAAATGTTGTAGTAAGGAATTCTCCACTTTTTGTTTTTGTTCCTTGAAGTCTAGGTAAATTAGCTCACCTTTTTCCGATCACTGGTTATTACGTACTGTTTTTACAAGATATTATTTATGAAGATACAAAATTTTACAATGAATACTTTAATACCAAAATCATGATGATAGCTAAAAAATGTGTATGGTGAATTATTTCGTTGTTTTGAGAAAATAGTATTCTAGTAATTAACTGTTAATTTTTGAAATACTAATATAGAGCTACTGCGAATTAGTTTTTGAAAATTGTAAATATATTTAAATTATTTAGAATAATAGGGTAGACGACTAATTTTTATTTTAATGTCCATCTGGTAGATTATTTAAAAACATTAGACACGTATTTTTTATTTTCTTACGGAAACGAATAGTTTCGAAGATATATTGATTTGAAATGTCGCGTGACGTCACTTCTCAGTACATTTTATACTAAGAAATGACGTTTTAGCCCTCACTCCTAAACTTTGATTCGTTTTATCTAAGTATTGTTTTATTTATTATACGACAAAATAAAAAAAATACGTGTCTAATATTTTTTTAATTACCTACCTAACTTACTAATTATATTTTTAATTTTCATACCGTCATCATCCCCATTGTAATGGAGATAGAATCGATAACTATAATAATTATTTACCCAACTTATTCTAATATTGTTTAAAAAAATTCTGCATCGCTAAAGGAGTTTCGATCTGGATTCCTAGGGGTCGGGGAAATTATTATTGAGTTATTCGAAAATTCTCATTAATAGCACGGAATCTGAAATCCCTGGTGCATTTTAATATGCTTGTCCCATATTACATGGACCAAACCATATATGTAACAAAAGTGGCGAATAGTTAATGTTACATTTAACGTGTGCAAGCCAATAGGAGCTACCGTATTTTTGGTCAGTAGATGGCGCAAATGTAGGAAGAGGTATTGTCCAATCACAGTAGCTGTCAAATATTGAACGTCCAATGGCGTGACGTTAGCTAAATTCTGATTGAACGAAGAACAAGAGATTCAAACTAGCGCCATTTGGTGAGCAAGAATACGGTAGGACCCATCTTGTTAGGAATTAAAGATTTGATCGGATTAAGCCCCCAATTTTTTTGGCGTCGCCGCCACTCTATTGGCAGTTAGCACGTGAGTCTCGCAGCGCCCTTCTCTAACCTGCAGCTGTAGCCAAATGCCATTTAGCGCTTGTCTACATGTAGAATAGAAAACTAAATTATATGGAACTAGCTACTTCCGCGCGGTTTCACACGCTCTGCTCAGCTCCTATTGGTCGTAGCGTTTTATAGCCTATAGCCATCCTCGATAAATGCGCTATCCAACACAAAAATAATTATTTAAATCAGATTTGTAGTTACGGAGATTAGCGCGTTCAAACAAACAAACAAAAAACAAACTTCCGCTTTATATAATAGTATAAGACTTTATATAATCCTTACTAATATTATAAATCGGAAAGTGAGTTTGTTTGTTTCTTCCGACTTCACGCCGTAACTACTAAACCGATTGCATTGAATTTCTGCAGACGTAAAGTTAGTAGTCTGGATTAAATAATAGGGTACTTTTTATCCCGAAAAAATTGATATTCCCGAGGGAAAATAAAAGTATTGGTATAGAGGGCGCTGTATGTATTGGTATATGTCACATAGGCTACTTTTTATCCTTTTGTGACGCGAGCGAAGCCGCGGGTAAAAGCTAGTAGTAGTATAAGATAAGATTGACGTAACCTTTGACACTCGTCAGTGTCATCCCCATATATTTAGTTTTCTACTCTCTCTGTAGACAAGCGCTAAAGTGGCGTTTGGCTAAGGGCACTGGCACTCTAGCTTCTTAATCCCGAATTATGAAAAACCCACAACATTTGTTCATACAAAAGTAGTCTCTAAACATCGGAAATAAGGTTTATTATGGAGTAAGTGGAGACCGGTCACCGGTGATCACTTGGGCAGCTAAGCACTTGCCTAGTTTGCCTTAGGGCTAATACGGTTCTGGGCTTGTTGTTATGTTTATGTTATGAAATGGAAATAACAATAATGATCAATAAAACAAATTAATACAATACAATTATGACAAATAACCAATAAACAAATATACATATATATATATGTATATAAATACAAACAAACAAATCTGTATTTCAGGAGGAAAGATAATGTTCTCTCACTTGCCTCTTAAAGATAGAGATTGACTTAGCGTCTCGATTGTTCGGCGGGAGCGAGTTCCATCGTCTCACTGTATAAACGGAGAAAGAGTATTACGTGACGAATGCGATAGTTATTCGTGATTGGCACTCTGATTGGTTAATTTAGAATAGCCAATCAGAGAGCCGAACGTCATAAATGTGTTGATCGCTTTAACGAATACTTGCGCAAGGCACACCGGACACGAAACAACTTTATTGTTATTATGACGTCCTAAAGTCAGAATAGTTCCATTGAGGGAAAGAAACAGAGCTATACAAGTCGTCTAACGAGGTCTCGTTCGCTCAGCGGAACCACTCTGGCTTTACGCCAGAAGCCATAATACGCCACCTGGCTGTAAATACTGCAAGCCAAACGTGTGAAAAGGTTTTATCCACTCAAACGCCCGAGTCCGACAGCTGTCATCGCCTTGAACGCACGCGCGCGCACGAACTCACGCCGTCGAGCGCCCAATACCGTTACCGGTTTAAAGCCTATTTTCTACCAATCTACAACTGTTACAACAAATTAAATAGAGCTGACATTATAAAGAATCTAAATATGTAAAAATTAAACAGTCACTCTTATCGTAACAATACTCTACGTTACTTACTTCTTAATACACTAGATGAAATAACCTTTTTTTTGATGCCAATACATCATTACTTAGAACTAACAGTAATAAATCAAAACAAACTACCCATTACGGTATGAATTTGGTATCGACCCTGATGACGAAATCGAGGCAAGATGGCCGATCTAAGGATTCGTACACGCTTTATTTTGTTTGAGGAATAGGTTGCTATTTTATTGGTTAGAATAGGGCTGTCCAAACAAAGGCCCGCGGGCCGCCATTGTTTTCATTTGGCCGGCGACACATATTTTAATCTCAACATCTTCATCTTATGTGCAACAACAATAATAAAATTCAGTGTATTATTTGTATATAAGTTTTGTCTGTGAATAAAGAATATAATGTTAAATTGGACAGCCCTGGGTTAGAAGATATTCAATAATTATATTTAAATGATAGGCAGATTGTAGGTATAATTATTTATTTATATAATGAAAATGAAAACGATAAAAAAAATGAAAACTGCGTTTAAAAAACCGACTTCAAAAACCCAAAAACTAATAACAAACAAAATGTCAAAACTAAAAAGAAAAAAATAACTATAATTAGTACTGACAGGTTACCCACCCACTGAGGTTAGAAGTCGGCGCCATAAGTACCTACTATAGAAATTTATTCACTATAACCTTAATAGATACCTAATTTACAATTTTGTGGCCATTTAGTTATATCATTATATGAGCTTATGACACCGACTTCTAACCTTAGTGGGTGGGTAACCTATCAGTACTAATTATAGTTATTTTTTGTTTGTTATTAGTTTTGGTTTTTTGAAGTCGGTTTTTTAAACGCAGTTTTTATTTTATCATTTTCAGTGTAAAGCTACATAGACCCGTTTTGTCACTTATAATCTACATAGGTGCAAAGTTCTAATCAATACAAATTATACAAGCTTAAACACAAAGTAGTTACTGTATACCGTTGAGGAGTTCCCTTAACAA